GACGATCGATCTCCCATCCAGTACCCCCAGAGGTTTTGATTTGCTATTGGAAACATGGAGGACTTCTGCGACTCGACAGATTTAACGTGCATTAGTCACTTTACTATACGGGGAGTCTTCGGCCGACGGAGTTCGAACCCACGAACTCTCGGACATGGGCCCAGCGCCCTACCGACCAGGCCTGATGGAAAAAGAAATGGTCATGGCTAGTAATCTTCTCTACGAATATTAAAATTTACAAGAAAACTAACTTTCGTTAAAAAGACTGATTGTATAAAAAAACCTCACGTTTTCAAATTATGACGTACAAAATCTTTAAACAAAGAAAAAAAAAATATTGAAAGAATCCTTTGTGTAATGAGTTAAAAAAAAATTATCAAAAGCAAATGATGCATCGTACCTGATTTAAAAATATCATTGATACATACCTTTCGAAAATGTATATTACTTTATGACTGAATATAATGTCAGAACAAATGTCATCAAAAAGTCTTGTCAGCTCGATTCCTTTCTGATAAATGCCTATTTTTAAATCTGAATTCTTTTTAATTGAGAGTTAGGTAAAACATCGAGGACGTTTTTGGTGTGATAAGTGGTTCTGATAACTTTATAAAATATAATAAAGTAAAATGATAAAAAAGAAGTTTGAGCCTTTCGTGAGTTCAGCAATTGATAAGAGTTGAATGATTGTTTCAGTTTATTGCAGTTATTATTAGAAATAGGCAACATTTTTAATAAACATCGTATAAAGTTTTTTGTAATACCTAATGTTATGCTGGTGGCATTTGACATTGAAAATAAAAAAGGAATTGGAATACAGGGCACAGAAGGTAATTTTCTTGGAGAAAACCAGAAGAAAACCACCCTAGAAGAAATAGGCTTCTTCCAACCCATGTGTGGAAGAAATTTTTTTGAAATATTATATTGGGGTTTTAAACAGCTTATAAATGCTATCTAGTTTAGTATCGATGATCAAGCTGTTTAATTTTTAAATAAACGAAAAATGAAAAGCAACAATTGGAAGGGAAAAAAAATTAATTGAATGAATTTGTTAAGAAATTAAAAATGACTGCAATTTTTCCAATATCTTATGTAAATGAGTACAGTAAAACTTAGCTTTACAATAGTAAAAAAACCCTGCTGAAATAACATAATTACCATTTTTAATGCTATTTTAAATGAACATGCTAGCGATTCTTACAATACTTTTAAGCATTTGTATTGTTTTTTTTCTTTTATTTTGACCAGTTTCATCCCCTTTTTTTACAGTTTCTTTCAGTTATTCATGAGGAAATAAATTTTTTCCCGATTATTAAAAAAATTTGCATTGTTTTTATATATTTGTTTTGATTAAATAAGGAAAAAAATTAATTTTTTATAACGCTCCTAATAATCATAATTCTAATAACATGAATCGATATTTATTCCATTTCGATTGTCGATAGTGCTTGATATGAATCATGTACTGACATTTATGGACATCTTTTTANTAATAAACATCGTATAAAGTTTTTTGTAATACCTAATGTTATGCTGGTGGCATTTGACATTGAAAATAAAAAAGGAATTGGAATACAGGACACAGAAGGTTATTTTCTTGGAGAAAACCAGAAGAAAACCACCCTAGAAGAAATAGGCTTCTTCCAACCCATGTGTGGAAGAAATTTTTTTGAAATATTATATTGGGGTTTTAAACAGCTTATAAATGCTATCTAGTTTAGTATCGATGTTCAAGTTGTTTAATTTTTAAATAAACGAAAAATGGAAAGCAACAATTGGAAGGGGGAAAAATTAATTGAATGAATTTGTTAAGAAATTAAAAATGGCTGCAGTTTTTCAATATCTTATGTAAACGAGTATAGTAAAACTTAGTTTTACAATACTAAAAACACCCTGTTGAAATAACATAGTTACCATTTTTAATGCTATTTTAAATGAACATACTAGCGATTCTTACAATACTTTTAAGCATTTGTATTGTTTTTTTTTCTTTCATTTTGACCAGTTTCATCCCCTTTTTTTACAGTTTCTTTCAGTTATTCATGAGGAAATAAAATTTTTCCCGATTATTAAAAAAATTTGCATTGTTTTTATATTTTTTTTTTGATTAAATAAGGAAAAAAATTAATTTTTTATAACGCTCCTAATAATCATAATTCTAATAACATGAATCGATATTTATTCTATTTCGATTGTCGATAGTGCTTGATATGAATCATGTACTGACATTTATGGACATCTTTTTACTTTTATCGTGGGTTGATGCTTATTGTACTCAAGATATATTGGGAAAATATATTTTATTGATCATTATCATGAAAATTTAAAAATATTGATACTAATCACTAATTAGATACAATGGAAGTTAAGGCTTCACATTTCCGTATGTCACGAAACTGTAGATCTTGAGTTTCCATGATCCCTCGGCCCCACCATGGGCTGCTGCGTAAAATGACTTTTTTAGGTTCACTCTTTTTGTAATTTTGAACATTCGGAGATATTTCCGTATTTGGTTATGCCTACTAGCTATATCCATGCTCTAAACCATGGGTCGCCAAACTTTTTTGATCATCGACCCCTATATAATTTTTCAAAATCTCCATCGACCCCCATAAAAGTAATTTTCCGTTAATTAAAACTCTATTAGATACTGTGTTTGTACATTTATTTTATGATTTTAAACATTTATTAAAGTAATAGCACATTGTGTAACAATAGTTTTACGAAAAATATATTAATGTTGAAATTTAAATACCTTAATATTTATTAAACAATAAGTAATTATAAATAAGTAGAAATAATAAGTAAAGTAACTACAGGTTTATTGTTTCTTAATCAATGAGATGGTTGTGCCTGGGGTGTTTTATTGCAAGGTTCGCTATATTGAGTTCAAAATTGGTCAATTTTAATCTTAAATCCCCTCGAAACACCACATTTAATTTATTTCTGTTCTTAGTTAAGATTGAATTTACGTGACTGAAACCGGCTTCAACCATATAGGAACTTGGAAATGCTAGCATAAATGGTTGAGCTATTTCGTAAAGTTTTACATACTTTTGCATTCTATTTATTTATGTCCAAAATTTGCTTATTGTTAAATTTTTAAAAAGCGTCTTTGCTTCAAGATCCGATAATAATTCAGCAAGCTCATCTTGCAGGTTAATGTCCACGTTTTCAATTTGAGCAGAAAATGGCACAATAATCCAAACAGGGATGTCAATGTTTTCCAAATCAACAAAGCGCAGTTTAAAATCGTCTCTCAATTTTTTGAAGATGATCTGTATATATTTTCAAGTCTTCTTCTTTTATTTCTAATTGTCGCAGATTTGAAAAATACTGATAATCCTTACGTAGCAATGAGCTCGTGCCACTGCACGCTGGTATGCAAATACTTGTTTCACCCGAATAAATATACGTTTATTAATTTATGTTCTATAAAGAAACTGATATAAAGTCAATTATAAAAAAATTCACAACTTTTACATACTCAATTAGGTATGTGTGATTTGCGTATTAAGAACTACTTTTTCTTCGACCCCCAATCGTACCTACCGATTCGGATCGACCCCCATTCGACCCCCTGGTACAGATCGACCCCCGCTTTCGTTAAATAAACCCCTGGGGGTCTATATAGACCACTTTGGGGACCTCTGCTCTAAACAGTATTTTAACTTCCTAAAATTAATAATAAAAAGAAACCTATAGTGGTTTGCCCGATGTTGACGGTGAGTTATACCTTTCGAGTTGGTCCCTTTCTGTCATATGGGGCCGTTCAAAAAGTACGTACATCCCGAAGAGGGGGGGAGGGGATTTGCTATTTTGTACGGTTTTGTACGACGGGAAGGGGGGGAGGTATTATACGAAGTACGTACATTATAAGCATACACCAAATTTAAATTTGACTTTTTTCTACACATGTATTATACATATGTTTGTTCTTGTACTTTTTTCACACGGCGACCACTTGTTAGAATGAGTAAATCAGTTCTCAAAAAAAGTTGTCTCGCAAAATACTCTCATACTCGGGACCGACTTATATAACTATGAGATCTGCTAAGAATTCATCATCGACTGCCTATTCGCATGCAGCAGATATTGAGCATATTTTCGAACTGCCTGCTTTTACTGGATCTTTAAAACGAAATGATGATTCAGTCAAACCTGTGGGGATCTTCACTGTAGACGGAGGTTCCGATGAAAACCCACGGTACATTAAAGTCATCCAAACTGCTATCCATCATTTCATAACGAAGAACCTCGACGCATTATTTATAACCAGTAATGCTCGTGGAAGAAACGCGTACAATCGAGTCGAAAGACGCATGAGCAGAGAGCTAAGTGGCGTGATTTTTCCTCACGATCATTTTGGTAGTCATCTAAACAATAGAGGTGAAACGATTGATAAAGTTCTCGAGGAGAAAAGTTTTGCAGAAGCAGGAAAGGTATTAGCGGAAATATGGTCCGATGCGGAAATTGACAAGTTTCCAGTTATGAGTGAATACATTCACCCGGAAAACTCAGCACTGTGTTCATCACAAATTCGAGAAAAAGACCTGACTTGGCAAGCGTGAGAAACAACCAATATCTACTGCAAATCGTTAAGTGTAACGATGAATCCTGCTGTTCTAAATTTTGGATTTCAATTCTTAAGCTTGTGCCTAACATATTTTTATCAGCGCCTGTGCCCATAGCACAAACTGATGATGGACTTTATATTAATCAACCACGAGGAACTTTTAGATCATTATTTTTATCGCAAACGTTGGAGCCAATTGCAAAACCTGTTGTTAATCAAAAAATAGGTTTGAACTTCATCACAGAAATACCATACAATGCCATCGGTGGAAGAAGATATTAAACGCAAAATTTGTCCTACTTGTGGTACATATTTTGCATCTTTAACTTGTTTGAAAGATCACAAGAAAATATGCAAATCTTCTTTGCAAATCAACAAAGTAAGACCAGTTCGTGTAGCAGCTCGTCGACAGAAAGAACTTTTGGTTATCCTCCGAAACCAGGAAAACGAAGATGATGCACAGTGGATCGAAGATGATCTCGTTGATGAAGATAATCTAAACGAAGATAATCTAAATGATACATGGTTAATTGATTTTAAAATATTATGAATACCTTTCGAAAATGTATATTACTTTATGACTGAAGATAATGTCAGAACAAATGTCATCAAAACGTCTTGTCACCTCGAGTCCTTTCAGATAAATGTTTAGTTTTAAATCTGAATCCTTTTTAATTGAGAATTAGGTCAAATATTAAGGACATTTTTGGTCGGGTAAGTGGTTCTGATAACCTCATAAAATATGTAAGTAAAAGAATAAAAAAGAAGTTAATAAACAACTAAAAAGAGAATACTCCTTTCAACAATTGATAAGAGTTGAATGCTTGTTTCAGCTTATTGCACTTATTATTAGAAATAGATAACATTTCTAATAAACATCAAATAAAATTTTTTTTAACGTTTTCCTAATGTTATGCTGGTGGCATTTGACATTGAAAATTAAAAGTGACTATTAAACAGGACAGAGAAGGTAAATGTCTTCCACAGTGGAGGAAACCAGAAGAAAGCCGTCCTAGAAGAAATCGGCATCTTCCAAACCAAGTGCGAAAGGAATTATTTTTTTCAAAAAGAAATATTATATTAGGTTTTTAGACAGCTTATAAATGCAATTTAGT